TGGTTATTTGGTTGCGCTGTGAATTTTTCACTCATATATTTTGGCATGTCTGCAGTAAGCAAACCTCTTGATCCAACGTATTCACGTTATCGTACTTCTTCTTGTTGAAGCGAATGGACAACTATATGAATTAAAAAATAAAGCAGAACAGAACAAAAACATCTTTCTTCTTCTTGTCCTCACATGTTTTTATTTCTTCTTTTAACTTATTTCACACCTCCTATTCGTTCAGCTGTACTCTATCCCTTTCGTCTCTTACATAACACAAGTGAGAAAACCGCTTTTATGCAGACTGAGCGGTCTGCATAAAATTGTTCCTTCTTATTTTCTGTGAATGCTACTGAAGCACCGCCCATGTGGAAAATTCTTGGCTTTCCGGGCGCTCATCACGCGTGGGATCCGATGTCCAGCCGCTTCCATGTGTGGAAATCCTGGATTTCATGCGTTATCGTGCCTGAATAAGCCACTCCATGTGTTTCAATGCATGGAAGTACCCTGTCAATGCATGGATCCACATGGGAACCCATGCCAAGATACCCATGGATATGCTCCTCGAATTTCAACGCGTGGACTCCGATGTAATCATACAGATAAACATTGAGATTCAAGCCATCTGAAGAAGCCTTTAGTCGGGCACAAACATGATATCGTAGCTCTATCTCACACCCTCACACCCTAAACGTGTACGCCGTAGGCATGTCACGAGACTCAATGGTAGCTGATAATTATCTATTATTTTCTCGTAGTAGAAACTACGAGACTCTACGAGAATTTTCCCGAAAAACTGTTCAGAGATGTGTGCCGTAGCAAGAATAGCTAGATAGGACCAATCTGAACAGTTTTTCAAGAAAATTCTTCTAGAGTCTCGTAGGTTTTTTACGAGAAAATAATGGATCTTTATCAGCTAGCATTGATTCTCGTAGCATGCCTATACACGCCTCATTACAACAAACGCGAACTTTTTTTCAAACTTTTAGTTATAATTTTTACTGTCTTCGCTTGTTTATTCACAAGATAGTTACAGCAAAACTATGTTCAATTTGGTTAAGTTCATTTTCTCTCATAGTCCTTATTTCTTTTTCCATAGTAGAAATGTACACCATCTTTTCTTGTGGATGAAAATGTGGATATTCACCAGGTTTGCCCGTATGGTGTATCGGCGTTCCATAGCCGGCACGTCTTGCTCGTTCTTTTGCATCTTTACGATTTTCACAACGTACAAAGTGTAGATATGCTTTTACTTCTGTTTTATCTGTATTCGGATGGATTTTACGAACTTTTCTGTTTTTGACAATATTTGATTTGCCTTCGCCTTCTAAAGAAAAAGAAAAACATAAAAAAAATAATAATACGATTTTGCACGGCTCGGATTCTCACTCTCTCACTTTTTTTCTCTTCTTTTCTTCTGTTTTTCATTTGTTTTGGATATTTTCTTGTGTCGAACACTTGTTGAATAGGAATCGCATCAATATTTCTTTTTCCATCTATTGCTGATAATGAGACTTTTTTCGGATTTGAAAGTGAAAGTGAAACTCCGTCATAGATGCGGACTGAACTGTTTTCATAACGACCAAACACTGCCGGCACCCATGAACATTCATCATGGATATTATCTAAATGTCAACAATATCTATTTCTAGAATTCTGATAAGGAAATTTGAAATAGTAAACAATGTCTCACCTAAATGACTTAGTCTCGATTTACGTTGTTCAAGATCAATACTTAAACGAGCTATATTCTCCATGATTTTCGAATATTTTTCTTGTTTATACTGTTTAGCGACTTCACCGATACGATGAACAAGTTGTGTATCATTTCTTGGTATACGATGTGACTTGTATCCTGTTAGCAACCAATGTTTCACTTCTGGTCTTAACAATGTGTCTGAAAATTTCGAACGACACCATTCATATATCGCTTCTGTACATTGATCTAAAATTCGAACATCGTCTTCGGCCAATTTTTTGTATATATTCTGTCTGATTTCTTTGTCTTCTTCTGATGTTAATTTTTTTTTCGATATTGAATGTTCTGATAAGAAATTTTCATAATATTTTCGAATATTTAGATCAGTATTTTCGGGATAGTCACCAATTTGATCGCTTAATAATTTTAATGCTCGACGTATATCTTTCGTATCGTTGATATATTCGACAATATTCTGATAGACCGAATGAATGAATCGTACGAGCATACTAATTTCAGCAAGTTCTTTTAATCGCAACATTTCTGGTAAATGGAATCCAATTCGATGATAGCTTTTTGTTAAGAATCGTGCTAATTCAGCGTCAGGACTATTATTACAAGGATCATCAATTAGTTGACCCTTTTCGTCGTACCGCATTTTATGTGTTTTAACAAACATTTTTACTCTACCTATACGATACGTACTCAGTGATTCGGTGTCATTACAATCATATTCAGTATCATCGGTTTCAATCCAAAAACGACGAATATGTCCATTTCAAGTACATTTATCACCAATAGATTCCAGTTGTTGTTGAAGAATACGTTTCAATGCATATTGTAAGTCTTGTGGGAGACGTTTCATAAAATTGGCTTCGTTCGATATTAAAAATGATTGTTTCGTAGAAATTTCAATACCGCTTGACATCATTTTCAATAGATAATCCGTATGTAATAAAGTCATCAGATAGTTTGTTTCTGAAAGTTCTGTAGTTGGTAAAAACTTCATTTCATGGAACGGATGTTGGAGTAAATCGATTGTCGGATGTTCTAATGAAAATGCAGCGTATGTTAAATTATGAGAAAATACTTCATCAACATCACTTAAATCGAAAAGATTCGAATAAGGTGTAGTTGCTCTCTCGAATAGAAATTCGATGTCTCCACTATCGATATTAATTGTCATTCCGTGAACTTGTGAATACGTAGAATTACTAGACAACTGAAGTGACTATGTTGTCGGTAACAGCCATCCATCCATTGTTCGTAGAATTATTTACCAATTCATTAAGTTTTCTACACCAGTCATATCCCATTCTTGTGTTTCCAATAACAATTTCATACAGCTTGTACATTCATAGGTGAAGTCTTCGTTTACAATCCATTTTCCCAGATACCTTCAAATAGATAATATTGATAGAGATAATTATCGCATATGATCGATTTCGATTTTAAATATTCGACAAGAAAATTTTGACCGGATATTGTTAAATAGAAAATATCACTGGATAATGTTGTTGGCATTTGAATGAACGGTACTATTTGAGATAATTGAATTACATTTGTTAAAAATCCTTCAATTATTCTCGATTCTTGTTTAGAAATAATTAGTCCAGTATGTTCTGTTCTTCGTATTGAAGACGATTCTAACAATATGGATGATTTGAATAATTGATTTGAGCATATGATCACCGTAAATAACAGTTTAGATACATAGAATTTTATCTGTAACGGTATATGACGTTGAATCAAAGAAAAAATTTCGTAGGACAAATCGAAAATAGTAGATCGATATGCATACATACCGGCATTAGTTACATGTTGCTTCATAGCTTTATACAAATAAAGACAAGCTATGATTAAATTTGTTATAATTAATATTGGATGATCAACACCCATACATAAATCAATATAAGAGAAAGCTGACTGCAATGGATCTTGTTCAAGACGTTTAATAATCGATTGTTCACATTTTCGAATCGTTATTAATTCAGGTATAAGTTTGAAAAATTTCAGTTTGATCGATTCTCTTGGCGGTGTGATATTTGTTAATATCGTATAAGAATCGTCTATATTTTCTGATTCGACGAATTTCAGTAATCAAATTATAAAATAAAGTTTCATGATAATTTGATTCGTTTCTGAATAGAACTAGTACATTGATAAAATCCTCATACGGATAAACGAACAATGCTTGTGTGAGTATTTGTAATGATTCAATTGGTTTATTTTCTAATTTTGATATTGTTGCTTTTAATAAATACATTTTTAATCGATATTCTATTGGACGAATATCATCAATTGTCAATAGACCAAGACATTCAAACAGTATCTGTTTCATTATATTCAAATAAAAATGATTATAGTTTAATAGACAATATACAAATTTTTCTAGAGATTCATTTGTCAATAATTTGATTTCATTATATTTTTGAATTGATATTTGTTTTTGAAATTTAAGCAATTTTTGAATAGTTTCATTTGTTGAATTTTCAAATTTGAACAATGAATGAATGCCACCATTAATAATTGTTAATAGTTTTTATCATTTTTCTTGCATAGTTCATCTATGATTAACAAATGATATTTGTTAATATTTCAAAGTATTACTAGACATTTTCATTATATATATCAGTAAATTGTAGCCTTTTTCAATATCTTTCTTCATTAGAATATCATAAATTCTAAACAAAACATGTCTGCTATGTGAAAAAGTGTTCATCTAAAACAAAAAATTGACGTACTATGAACTCGATGACAAATATACAGAAGTATTCCTACCTAAGAACTGATATTCATTTGTTTGTAAATTACAACATGATATAAGGAATATCAAAGGTTTGCCACTGGACATAGAGATGAAATCGGCCTTGACTTCTGACGATCGGTACTCTTACCAGTCTGAATGGGTCAGACCGATCAATTCATTTTTTTTATAAACGTTCTTTTACAGTGGATTCACGGAAATTCTCCACAAAATGAGATACTGGGCACGCGTCTGCGATTTTGGACGACCGAGTTACAGGCTGTTTAACATTAAGAATATAAGCCGTCTTCTTACCGTCTT